CAACGGTATACCGGTCACTTATGCACTGACCAATGGCAACTACAGGAGATAGCAGACACTTTATTCGCACAAAGAACAGATTGCTTTCCACTCACACGAGTATACAAAATATGTAATAATAATTACCAACAAAGAAATCTATGTAGTCCGAAACACCTTAAAGCTAGCAGTGTCAAACCAGTGCGCCACTCAACCTGCATGCTTAAACAACACATGATCGAGTTGCAGGTGTTATACCTAAGCAACGCGGTATACCGCCTTGCCACCTCGCGGCGTTAGGGTATACCGAAATCGGCCATCGTGATTTATTATGTTTTAATAACTGCCCGACATAAAACACTACTCAGCGATGACCCGTTTGAACTTATGCCAGCGGTACATCGATTTGAGCTGTGTTAAAGCATGTGTTCTACGATAATCTAAGGTAGACGGGTATAAGAACACCGAGTATGGTGTAAGCTCAATCAACTCAACACACTACCACAGTTTCACAAAATGAATATTCCTCTTGTTCTCTTAAAATTTAATTTTATAATTTTAGATGATTGACTATTATTTATAATTAAGCGGATTTGGTCAATAGTCATTAGATATTTTTCGCGCATTGTTTTCAAAAGAAACGGTGATAAGACGTCTTCCTAGAACAAATAAAACTTAAAATTCACTTACAATATGACGTCATATCATGAAAATTGAATTTCCATATATAGACTTCATACGAAATATTTTACTTCGTAAAAATGTAACTATAGATATATTTGTGACTAATAGATTCATAAATAGAATTACAATTTTCTATTTAATCACTAAGGCTTTCGTCGCTAGTCACTTAAACATAATAGTTAAATACATGAGTACATAATTTTTTCATCACCTTATCTTATTTAATTCACTATAACATTAAACCAACCAGTTAGACATTCGTGTGGATAAAATAAATTTTGGGCACTAAATCAAACAAAAAAACGTATACATACTAGATCATTCATTTTAAACTAGTAGTAATTTAATTAGTTTTACATTGTGTATAAACATAATTCAGCCATAAAACTAATACTTAAACGAAAATGATTTACATAAAGAAGTTATAGAACATTATTAAGTTTAAATTATTGACGCTTAAGGTAATTAAGGAAAAAGTACATGCTCAATGAGACGTAGCTTGGTTAACAAAACTTTCATTTAGAAGTAAAACAAATATCAAAAACTTTATTAGAAAAATACTAAGATTATTTATTAAAAAATATTTTTCTATCGATTTTCAAAACTCTATATTCGCCAATATTAAAATTTCATAAAAAGCATTCAGCAACCGCTCTTCTCTTCCAGTTTTTTCTTTAAATTGTTGATAACTTCAGAAATACTGGTTCAAAAGTTGTTATCAGCTAGTAATTTTTTTAATTAGAATATTATCTAGTAAATAAGCTAGTTCACAAGATATGTGTAGCCATTTGAAATAATTAAGTTGACGCATTTTTAAAATATAAAGGACGAAAATGAAAAATACTTCATGGTACATAAATTAAAAAAAACATATAATAAAAAAAAATCAAAAATGAATTATTATCAATATTATTTTAATTTTTCGATTAATTAAGTGGTTAATAATAAAAGAATTATTCTGTTTAGTTCATTAAATATGATTTATGAAACGTACATTTCACGGTTGCCACAAGTTAAAATTTTCATAATTTTCCAGCCATTATATTTTTTAACTATTTTTCATTATATTTCATGTTTGACTAAAGTTAAGAACGTAGGTATGCATTAATGCACATAGGTAATTACTTATGTGAGGGTTGGGTGAAACCAAACAAATAATGCTTGATGTGCTAAAACTAAATTTACAACTTCATGAGAGACGTAAAATAATTACTAACTAGGAGGGCCATTGTAAACAAATAAAAAAACTTTTTTTTACATAATTATATTTATATCATTTTTGTTTCGCCTTATTATCATATTTTTGATAGTTAAAAATAACCACAAATACGTTTCAAATTATATAAAAAAAATTGTTAATTATTTATGTTTGTGTTAAATCCTAATAAAAAAATCTTCATAAAATGTAGTTATTTTTACATAATTTTAGTTAATTAGAACCAGCACTCCGGTAATAGCAACTATGTTGAGGGTGTTGGAATTTTCGAAATAAGTAAAATTTGATTCCTTTAACAACCTTCAGTTAGTATAAATAAAAATACATGTAATAAATAATTTACCAAAACGAGAATACAAAAAAATCAAAATATACGAAAGATACAATTGAATTTTATAACTCAAAACAAAAATATAAAAATTCCTGACCATTTTAAAATATCTTCACTTCCATTAAGAACTTAAAACATATTTTTCATGTAATTAAACATTGTCTTTTTGACCTTAATGTTTTGCACGATATAATCGCCAGTTCATTGGACTTCTAATACTTCAAATAATAAACAAATGATTTTATACAATACAGTTAATAAGAAAAATATATATTTATTTCATGATTCCGTTATTAATATAACATGATCATGTTAGAAAACATTACATTAAATTTTTATTTAAAACGATTAAAACTAAGTAATATATGCATTAAACCAGTTTACGACCCAATAAAAGAAATGTTATAAAAATGTTTAGCTTTGTAATAGAAATCCAACATATTTAACAGAGTCTTACTTTTTGATTACACCAAAATAGAAAAATAGTTATTAACGTCAAATAAGTCGTCCACTTAATAAATTAAATCCACAAGTTCTACAGTTTTACTCGTATCTTTATAAAACAGTACACTATAAACAAAATCCTCGTTATTCCATTATATAATGTTGAAAACACTTAACATAACTGATGAATTATTGAAAATTAAAACAAGAAAAATATAAAAAATACATAATTATTGATTAAATCCTATATTTTTCATTTTGTTTAGGAATATGTTGGTTTAAATCAAGGCTCAATGTGGGGGAAGACGCAAGGAGACTCAGTTTTGCCAATTTAAGCACCGGTTTAGACCCACTTCAATGCAAAAGTAGTAATATATATTTATTTATGATTTATTAAATGTTTTTTTCGACTGTCCTAAATAATTGACTTAAAAGGCACATTTTCCTTACTTGTACGCTCTTCAGATTTTAATCAATAGGAGAAAATTGGACTATTTTTTGGGGGGCTAATTTTTTTCATATAAATATAGTGTTCTCAAATGTTTTTCGTTGCTTTTTTTGTATGTTATACTACATTATTATCATACTTAATTTATAAAACTACAACTAAATCAATAACTTCTTTTTATTCAAATTTTACAATGATTTTAAAATTTTTAAAAACACTTAAAAGCTCTATTAAAATATATTAAAAGCTCTTTTGAAATACAGTCTGAAATTTCTATATTTTTGTCTCATTACAGTGTACATTAAATAATATATTTTTAACTAATAATAATTAGATTATCTCAGATCAAACTGACAAAGCTTCTACATTTTTATGTAATAATGATTTCATTCAAATATTCTTATAACAATCATTCTCAGACTACATATAAGCATATTTTTTATTAATTACCACTAATAAAAAAATGAATTCATTATTCTTATATTTTTACAAAATTTAAAAATAGCAATTTTTTAAAGTTTTCAACATAAAAAATGTTGATAAGTCGATAACAATTTTAGGAGAAATACTCATTGAGTTGTAAGCATTTTATACATAGAATGAGTACTGCATTCGCGTTCCATACTCACTATATGTATTAAAACGCTCGTTACTTAATTAATACTTGCCTCTAAATTGTTATTGGCCAATCGAAATTTTCTGTAAGAAAAGGGCTAAAAAATATATATTTTTAAATGAATAAAATAATTAAGTGTTTTTATTTTTAATAGTGATAAAAAATAAGAAATATGTTTTAAAAATGGTCTAGGAAGGCAATAAGTATATAAAAAAATTGTTAACAAAATGATAATTGTATCATGTTATAAGCGATATCTGTTTGTTCTAAAATACTATGGTATTTGCAATAGGTTATACAAATTATTTTAATTTTAAGATTTTTGTAGTCTAATCTTAATAAAAAAAGCGTTTAAACATTTAAAAATACATAATTTATTAGTAACACAAAATTTAAAGAAGCTTAACAATTTATAAGGGGGCTAAGCTTCCTTATTTTCATCAGTGTTTGTGTTAACAAATATACAAAAATACATTCAATCAATCGGATTTTAGAAATATTGAAAACTATTACCCCGTTATTATGGATTTATAAAAATCTTCATTGTCAATTAATATCTAGCTTATATTTAAAGTAAACGAATAAACAAAAATTAATTTATAAAATATTACACATTATGTGATGTATTACAAATTATTTTTTGAAAACCTTACTTGAAAAAATAAAAATTATTTTTAACTATATTGAATACATGTTACGTAAGAGACAAATTATCTAAAAACTCTATCAATCACAATTTGTAACCTATTTTAACTTTATGATTTTGTTTTAAAAAAAATTCATTTATCAATAAAAGTTAATTTTCAAATTCCTCTTATAATAAAATATAAAAAAAAAATTATAATAAAAAAATTGAATTGATAGTAAAAATAACACAAATACAATTTTTGTAAACTAAATTAGTTAATATTTTATAAAATGAATTTTAAATTCTTGTTACAGGTAAAAATATTTGTTCAAGTTTAGGGAGAATCAAAATTATCAATAATTTTAAAATTCCATTAAAGTAAAGATAGTTAGATTAACTATAGAAAGCGTTTTGCAACAACTTAAAAAATACTATTTAAATATTACAATAAAATTTAGTGAAAATTTCGAAAAAATAAGTCATCAATAATAACTTGATTGGAGTTGATAAAAAATATTCGGTAAATAAATAAATGATAGTATTCTTCTGGAAAGTTTTAAATACTATCCATGTTTTACTATTGTCATTCTAATAATCGAGATTGCAACATGTTATTAAATAAAAACAGCTAACTTATGGTAAGAAAATCCTTACCTTGCTCTCAACCTTTCCGATCTAGTTTGGTTTCTTGTCTGGTTAGATGCAGAACTTGTCATCGAGAACATTGTCGATGATGCTGCTGGTATTGGTACTGGTGTGATCACAGTAGCAGCAGCAAAGGTCCTGTTAGCCGCAGCGGCAGAACCAAGAGTCCCTGTAGCCCGTACGTGCACGGTTACCGGTAACGGGCCGGACGGACCAGAAGTGCGAACCGTCCTGTAACCAGATGATAGGATTGGCAGCATGAACGCAGCCCATAATAGAGTCGTTATCACGTTCATTGTTTACCCGGGTTAATTGCAAATCACGAGTCGCCAAATGCGGCGCTCATAATACAAAAAAAAACCTCTAGTATTTATTAATTGTTTAACAATTCACAGTAAAATATTTCGCAACTCCACGAGTCGAATTATATCAATTATTATTTTTAATTATAGTTTTTTTTTATTTTGCAATAATTAACTCTAGGGTATTTATAGTCCTCGGAGAGAAACCCGATTTTTTCTAAGAAGTCAGATATCAATACACGATAACACACGGTATCGGTCGGTATGTGTTTACGGCGCACAATATAATGTACGTCGACGATGGTCTGGCGTACGACTGACTAGCTACCTTCAAACAGCTGCGTCAAACACACGCGAGTCCAGGGATACGTTTTTACTTTCACTGAAAAAGAAAAATAACCATGCGTGTTATTAGTTTGAATCTAACGGATTCGTTAAATTATTCTCTTTGTTTTCTATGACTAAGAAACAATTAATTTACTAAATACTGTAGCTGTTTAATATTTCAGTTAAAAGATATATATATATATATATATATATATATGCAGTGCTCGAATTGGGGGGGTGCGCAGGGGGACGTAGCTCCTCTACTTTTTTTAAAATTTTTTTGCGCACTCCAACTACTTTTTTTTATTGGAACGGGAGGACGGTGGAAAATACCACCTCTTTTTTTTTTTTTAAATATTAGTATGATAATGAAATATGATTTATTAATAAATACTAAATAAAGTAATGAGTAAAAAAAAAAAAAGAGGTCTTCAAAATACTAGGGACGCAGTTTTCAAATTGTTAAGTTGAGCTCCCCTACTTATTTTTGGCCAATTCGAACACTGTATATATGTATTAAGATATTTATTTATTAAGAGTTTTTAAATTCGAATCAATGTTTTCAAAAAAAAAATTTTTTTTAATTTATAAACGAAGCATCTGACAAAATTTAAATAGAGCCTAATGACTTAAATACAAGGTGATTTCTTAACTACGCTTTACAAAATATTTTTGAAAATATTAGATCTAATCATTATTTTATTTTTTAACAGTAATAGATTTTTGTTGAGTTGCTTTATAGCAAAAATTAATTTTCTACAATCATTCATTATACCTCACTCATATATAACTCATATCGAGTTTCGATTTTCAAATGGCAATCTCCAATTTTTTTATATCGTCAGATTTATTTAATTCCATAAAAGTGGACACTAGACTAGTGTATCCATTTACTAAGAGCTTACTAAGTATATTTAATAAGCTATGGCTCTGGTTAATACTAGTGATAATCCGTGTCTACCACTGTAGGCTCGCTGATGGGCGGCCTTATGCAAGTTTTTAAAAAGATAAAAAGCATCATTTCCCTAGTACAAAGGTAACAGGAAACCACTACACTCAACGTTTTCTTTAATTAAACCAATTCAACTGTAATTCACTGGTGTCAAACCAATCTTCTAGTTTATAAAAAAAAAACACGAGTTATAAAAACTTGGAATTTCATAAAAAATACATAGAATAATGCTGGTAAAATAAGTTTAAAAACCATTTTTTTTACTCATAAAACTTTTGTAGCAACTTAATGAAAATTTTACAAAAAATTTATTTGTTTTGCTTGCACCAATGCTTAAAAATAAATTCTAAATTGTACACTGCTTACAATTTTGTCTCAGGAAAGAATATGTATAAAACATTTCTTTACGACACTCTAAAATAAAATATATTTTTATCACATATTTTTTTCATCGTCGATGAATAATACACTTCGTGAAATACATCAAACCTGTCGCTATATTTTTTAATTTAGACTTTTCAAAGCTTTTTCTCATGTTGCTCTTGAGATTTCGCAATATACGAAGTGTTGTATTTATCGAGATTATTAGTACTATTGATACAGTAGTATACTACTGTATTACTATTAATACATTATTATTATTATTATTACCAATAACATGACGTAATTCAAGACGTATTTAGAGATGATTGATTGCATTTTACGATTACTTAAATTTGAGTAGTACACATTTTTTTATAATGCTGGTATAGCCAATTAAATCAGTATGTAATAATTAATACAACAACTTGAGCTTCAGGTTGAAACATTGAATTGCCTGTCATCCTTTCAAAAATGTAATAAAATTTGCTATTCTACTTGATAAAGTATTATTTTAATTTTATTATGAAAATCAAAATATAATTCGCCAGATTTCCACAAAGCTAAATATTCAACATAAACATAATCTTAGTATTGATAAGTTATCACATAAATTTGCAAATAATTTATATTTGCAGTTTGATCCAGTAATGTTGTATATCATATCAAGGTTTCAAGTGAGAGGATTTAAATTCATGAGTGTATTTTTCTTATACTAAATTAAAACCATTTCGAAATTAGCTATTGAACTGATTGAAACCGAGCAAATACAATTTCATCATTTAACATAAGAAGTCCAGTAATTAGGTTTTCTTTTCGGGGTAGAGAGGATATATATAAGAAAATATTTCATTACCCCTTTAAATCAAAATGTTGAATCTTCATTATGTTATTATACACGACCTGGCCCCATTATTGCACTTCTGATAACGCCATAAAACAAATAATATAAAAATTTGCGATGTTCATGTGTAAACGAACATGTGCACATTATGGATACACATGTGTATCAGAATCATAGGTAAAATTAGAATAATAATTGTGGGGATACTAAATTAATTTTTCCTCCCTTTAAAAAATATTTTTAAACAGTAGTTTTAGTTTTAGTTATTATAGAGGTGGACATAATGCCCATGCACTCAGACCTGTTGGTCCATTGGTGCATACCTCATACCGAATTGTCTTGATTCGGTTTACCCACCTAAATGTTATCACCGAAGTGTTATTGCAATATACTTTTCATCGTATAAGACCATCAATTCACCCATATGGATGACCAAAGAGTCCTGTCATTCTGGCGAAATTCAGTAACTCTCTGGATCATAGGTTTTTAATATCTTCTCTTTCAGGAAAGGTTTACTCAAGTTGTTTGATCTTAGTGTGGACAAGGCCTCACATTCACACATAATGTGAAATTAGTTTTCCTTTTCTACTCCACACTTCCTGCACAATGGTGATTCCGATACACCATCGCATAAATTGCTGACTCTTTGCTAGTAGACGGTTCATCAAGTGTCCCGTTGTTCGCATTGAGACCTTCGAGTTCACGATTCTTCTGCAAAGAATCGCCAGTTTACGCGGGTTTATGCGGGTTATCTCGATTTAGAAAAAAATTCAAATATTAATTTCAACGGTATTGATTTTCCCACTCCAATTAAACAAATAAATAAGTTTGAACGTAACAACCCGTTTTTGTCCATCAACGTGTTTGCATTAGACGATAAAAATAATGTTTATCCATTGCGTATTATCAAATTACGTTCGAACACCAAACACATCAATGTACTTTACATCACGGAGGGTGGTAATAGCCATTATTGCTACATACAAAATTTCTCTAGATTAGTCTCCAAACAATGAAGTGCCGATCATTATCATGAAATCTATTGTAAGCGCTGCCTCTACGTGTTTACGGACCGAACGCTATCGTCCCGTCCGAGTGGACAAGCGGGTCTGGATGAGCATTTGAAAATGTGTGATAAGTTTAAAGAAGCGCGAGCTGTCCTACCCCCAGTCGATTCGGACCAGTCAATATTGCGCTTCAAAAATACGAGTCAATTTACGCTCTTGTTCCGAGAGTTTGTTCGTAGGATCCCTGTTCATCCAAAGTTCGTTATGTTGTGGTTTTTCTATGTTTTTGTCCATATAGTTCCCACAAGTATTTGAGAAATAAAGGTCCATCACAGCAGAGCTCGATACTGTGATAAGGCTGTATACTCTATGGTGCGCCAGGTACCATAGAGGATCCTAATGGTCACTTACCTTACGGCTAACTACCCTGTGACAAGTTAGCCACCCTTTCACTTGGTATGGCTGGGTTAGGGGGACCTATTCGCTGTTAGCAAGCAGGTATACCCAGGACTACGGTCCCAACTAACCAAATCATGACCGGCTAAAAGCAGTGGTACGCGTCGTCACCTCCACTGAATTAACTAGGGTCCGTGGGGTTGTTAAGCCCGTGATCCTTGCGGATCCCCCTGCGGGGTAAACAACAGTAAATATAATTTTTTTATTTTTGGGGGTTCTGATGTAGATCTAAAGTATTTCAGCACCAACTAGTACCCCATAGTTGCATTAGTGATCAGAATAATAAGGTTTAAGATTTAACCCTAAAAATAAAGTTATGGGACAAGCTGTCCCACTAGCTTATATTAACTTTTAACCCAGCATGAATATCATGTTACTATTTTCTTTTAATACTTTTACAGTTTTTGACTAAGTTAAAAGAATATATTTTATCTTTCTCAAATAAGTAAAATTTAAATTTTTTTATTTTTAAATTTTTTCAAAATTACAAAATAGCCATTTTTTAGCTCATTTTCTTACAAAAAATATTTATATGGGTCGATAACACCTTTAGGATAAGTACTTAATGAGTTGCAAGTATTTTAATACATTGAGTGAGTATGTAGCGCTGTCGAAGAATGCGTTATAAATAAAAACTAATACAAGTTGTATAGACCCGCGCCACATACCTAATTATTTATTAATGGGGTGTAGTTATGATTTTGTTCTAGGAGGAAATCCTATCATCCCCCTATATCTACGCCACTACTATGTATTAAAATATTTTTAACTCAATAAATATTTATCCTTAAATTTATGTAGACCCATCAATATTTTTGGTAAGAAAAAACCTAAAAATGCCTATTTTGAAATTAAAAAAAAAATAAAAATATACATACTTTTAACGAAGTAAAAAATTATTATAAAAAAAGTAACGCAAAATATTCACTGGATAGAAAGTTATTATTGATGTCAAACCTGATTGGACACTCTGTTACCCACCATATACTAAAATGCTATTAACTTAATAAAAACCTATTTTAAATAATTAATAAATAAGGATATCAACACCTAGTGAGAGACTGTATATTAGCAATGATATAAAGGCATTTTCACCATGACATGTTTTTTATGTTTAAAAATTCTCAGCTCTGACCAAACAGATTTGTCTGATATATACGTCAAAAGAATTAAAATTTAAACTAGTTAAAATGATTGTATTTTCAAAATTTAAAAAATTTTAATTAAAATTGGCTAAGGTAAAAAAATAATTTTACCATCTTATAATTGATAATATATATATATATATATATTATAGTATAAAATAAAGATAAAGGTAAATTTTAAACAGTGATTGTCTTAAGAGGGAGTATTTAAAAAAATTTACCACCTCTTACCAAACAAAAAAGGCATATATACTATAAAATGCCCTTATAATTATAGGCGTAATCTGTGGACATCTAGAGTTGACTTAGCCCTTCTAATTCTACCTCAAAATAATCATTAAAATTATTTATAAACTTATATTAAAATATTTTTTATATGAGAGGAGAAATTAAGTTAGGTGCACAAACACTTTGTTCAAATTGTGCCAATGTTTAAACCAATATTCGATTTTATTAGGTCCATTATTATCTGCATAGACTTATACATCTAGACAAAACATTTTCCCCAAGGACTGATATGTATGTGTGACTGTGGATATTGAATTAAAATAGGTAGCTTCATTTTTTCAATAAGAGTGAGAGAGTACATTTTGTATCACTATTTTTAGGTTAGAATTTTTACCGCCAAATTGTAAAAAAAAATGATAACAAATTCCAGTATGTTAACACATTTTTATTACTTAAATACAAGTCTCTCAAAAATGTAGATATTGCTCTATAAGTCTTTTCTGCAAATTTGAAAGTTATAAAATGGAAGACACTCCTAATTTATTTGACAGCAATCCTGTAGCAATTAATATTAAAGTAAATGATAGAAATAAAACTGTTGTAGATGATGTATTAAATGAAATTCTTAATGATATTCAAGACATTGAGCCTTCAAAAAATCTTGATATTGAGTCTCCAATAAGTGAAGTAACAAAAGAAAATACTACGGAGTACTGTACAGATAATTCTGATAATGAAGAAGCAAATTTATATACAAGCCAAATAGATAGTTCGGATAAATCTTATGATGAATTAATGCAACACAATGATGATACTTCAAAAAATGTACCAAAAGCTAAAGATAGTCATAAAGGTCTACCACCAGGCAGAGTTAAGTTAATTATGAAGATGGATCCCGATGTTAATATAATTGCTGGAGAAGCAGTATTTTTGGTTACAAAAGCAACAGTTAGTATTTTATTTTTCTGATATTAATATTTTATAGTTTGTTTTTATCGTACTAATTGTAAGTATTAATTTGCAAAACTTTAAGTTTTGCTAGAGTTTTTATTTTCTTTCTTCACTAATAGTCATATTTATGCCTAGTAACACGGGGCAGAACCAGAGAAAGATTTAAAATACCTAAATAAATTATTGGAAGTTACTACAGGTGTCATAGGAAATTAATAAACATAACAGTTAATTTCAGGAAGAATTTTGTTTTTCTAGATAAATTTCATTAGAGTAATATTGGAAGTACTTAAATGTATCTGATAGCAACCCATTTTATTTTTTTGCAATGATTGTTATAAGAAAGCTTTTAATTCTCTTATTTGTTGCCGACACTCACATCCAAGGGAAGAACAATATTACTAATAATTTTTCCAAGTTTTTTTAACTCATTTATGGGAAAGTATAGTTATCTTAAAATTAAAAAGAATACAAGTCTGTAAAATATTTGTTTAAATGTATTCTAAAATTTTTAAGTTTTAATCAAATTTAATTAAAGTATTTTCATGTTATTTAAAAATTTTAAATAATTACTTTTCTTTTATTAAATGAATTGAATTTTAGGAAAGTTTTGTTGGTTTGTTAGCTGAACACTGTCACAAAGCCATGGTATCATCTAATAAAAAAACTTTACAAAGGAAACATATTGATGCAGTAATAGAAGAAAATTTGCCCTTTGAATTTTTAGAGGGAACATTGGATTGGTAATAGTTATAAATTAAATTTCTCTAATAAAATTTATGCTTATAGTTTCAGATAATTTTTTTATTTCATTTTAACTCATAATAAATGAGTTTTCATTTAAAAATGTATTATTTTCTTGCCTAGCTTGTTAATTGAATTTTCTACTAAAATGTTTATTTTAAAAGTTAAGCTATATATAATAAAAATCACATCTTGTAGAATTTAACCTGATATTAATTAATTTTTTTTATAATTTTAACGTTTATGCTGCAGAAGCATTAAAATTATAAAAATCAATTAATATAAGTAAAATTACTAAAAAATTACATTTTTTTTTAATTCCTTAAAGTTTAACTTATTGGACTTAACTCTTTTAATATAGACTATTCATTTATGCAATAAGACTTATTCAAATTTTTTTTTTTTTTTTTTTGCAAACAAAGATTTCTATTTTATTTTTCTATATCTATCTAAGAATAAGTTTAACAATTTAATTCTACATAAATATGTATAAAATAATCTTTTACTTTTCATAAGTTGTATATTTTTAATTAATTTGTTTTTATTTTTATAAAATTAGTCCCAATAGCGACAAAGAATATTAATTTATTGAATATAAAATTTATTTATTTTATAAAAGTATAATTCTAATTAAACACAGATATGCATAGATTAGGAATGAGTATGAACATGTTAGATTAAATTGAAATTTATTAATCTGAGGTTTTACTTAAAGCATAGTATATATTATTATAAAATTTTATTCATTGTTTTTATATTTTATAAATAAGTTTTAAACATAATATTGAAAATATCTAATTTACTATTTTTCTTTCTATACAATAACTTCATATTGATGTAATGCATAATGTTATGAATATATTATACATTGAAGAACTATGATTCCTGATATATATTTATAAGTATTGTTTTTTGTTTAAACAATATTAGTTTTCATATTTTTTAATTTTAACACCTAGTAAATATTTTCTCCAAAAACATTAAATTCATAATAATACAATAGAAACCATATTAGTTAATATAAATTATTTAACTAATTACAAATTAAACAGTTGCTTAAAAAATAACAAATTTAACTGCAATTATTTATTTTAACCAAAAATTTAAGCAATAACAATAATATTTAATAATTAAATTGAAATAAACATTAAACAAAAAAAGTATACTTTAAAATAAAATAAAAATATATTATACAATTATAATACAGACTTACATAGAAAATGGACTAAATAAGCTAATCATTTTGTGCCACAAGGGAAGACAATTCATTCTTAAGACAAAATTGTTTAGGTTAATAAAAATAAGTATAATTTTTAATGTATATCAAGATTTACTGAGTATATATACAAGTGATTATAAAATAAATTTTGAAATAGTTATTTCATGTGTTCTATAATTTTTAAATACACAAATGAAATTGTGTTAAAATATATTACTTTAATATTAAAATTTTAACTACACAGTTAATGATTAACAGTCCTTAATATTCTAAACAAAATATCACATTTTTAACTATTAATTTAAAAGATTTAGATCAAAAAGCTTCACAACCATATCTGAACCAATACAATACACATTAAACTTGTGGTAATTTTGATATAAAAGAAACAATAAGTTACATAGTTATGTTACAATAATTAAAACAAAGAAAAGATGAATAGTTATAAGTAGAGGAAAAAATCATCAAATTTTAACCATTTGAAATATTAAATAGTGAATTTTATTTATTTAAGTCCTTTACTTTTTTGAAAATTACATTTTGATTTAAAATAATTTTTAAAATTTAATCATCCTAATGTAAAACCACAGCCTTTTTATTAATTTTTACAAATTAATTTAATTTTGGCACTATCTATTGTTGAGTTAAAAATAACAAAAACAACAAGTAGGTATATAAATTTTTGCTTAAATTAAATTTTTTATTAAATTTTAAATTATTGAGAAAATTAGTGCACTTAGTTGATAAATCTTTGGTAATGATAATGAACATTTATAATTTTCTAATCATGTTATAAAATAATTATTATCAATTAGTATATAATTGAATTTTTACTAGTCTTAATCACCTTGGTGATTGACTTTAACATAAAATAAGAGATATGGCGTTAGAGCAGAATTTTTTGATGACTTAAATTCTAATATTTGTGTTAACTGTGTAACAGACATAGTCCTAACAGTTTCATCATCACACTCTAACCATACACTATCATTTCCTTCTGAACTGTCTAAAATTCGAATACCACAACAATCCAAACTTCTACACCAACGACCTATTGATGAAGCTTTACCAGAATCAATAGAGTCACTAAATACACTACTAGTGCTTCCAGCTGTTGAAGAATTTTTAGAAGATATTTTCAAAAAACGAAAAAGACCATTTGATATTGAAGATTTTTTATAATTTGCAGGTAGGGTGCCATTCGGTGTGGATAATAAACTTCCAGTTTTTCGTCTATCTCTTGGACAATTATCATATTCTTCTAGGTTATCTTGTGCTTTGACATAAGCAACATAATGTCCAGATGCTATGGTGGCACCTAAATGCATTATAATTGCATATAATTGATAACTATGTGCACGATGTAATTGTTGAGCACCAAGAGATAGGCATTCTTCACAAAAACATTCAAGTGTTAATGGAGTAGGCATATGTTCATTAACTTTAGAAACAACAGCTCTAATAAAAATAATCATTAAAAAAATGTTTGAAAAATTTTACTCTGAAAATATTTACCGGTAATTAGTACAAAAGCGCTTCAAATGTAATGTTAATAATCGAGGTAATGTTTCATATCCAACACTACGTTTAGCTTCATTATAACGACAACACTGTTCACACCAATATTTATCAGTGTCTTGTAAGTATTCTTCATTTACTATTGCTGAATGATATAATTTATTCACATTATCATAATCTAAATACAATTTTTTTAAAATAAATTGATACATAATAGCTATATTGAAAAAAACATTGTAATACCAAAATAATTGTATTCATATTCTGGAGATACATCATCTTTAAATGAACCATTAATTGGAACACAAATATCACAAAAACTTTCTTTACGTTCAGTGACAAATTCACATTCAAGACAAGTAGTACGCAATAATGAGATACCTTGAAAATCATCAAACATTGAATTGCTACTGCTGCTACTAATACTATTATTAGGAATACTATCAATATCTTCTGATAAAACACTTGCTGTTCCATTCACAGCATATATTTGTTTATCACCTAAAAATAGTTATCATTTCAATTTAACTAAATACTTTATTCTATTATAACTTACCAGAAAAATTTTCATTTTCTGGGAGTACTTTATCACATGTTGTATTAGTTAATGTAGGCAACATTCCATTTACTGGACGTGTTTTACTACTAGATGTAATTTTTAAAGATTTTCTAACTTGACCAGAAAATATTTTTAATTTATTTGGTGTGGGTTGTGAAATAGGAGTACTTGGAACAGTACAATTTGTTGAGACAGAATTTTGCATAACTAATTTACATCCTTCTCTAATATTATCCAATAAACAAACCAATAGTTCATGTGCATCGTGTTGTTGATTTCCCTCAAATATAGGATTAACATCCCTATTTATAACCATAAAGTAGATTAAAATTAACTTTTTTCTTTTAATAATTTAAATGAACTTTATCTTAATACCTTAATGATTGCAAAAATACTTCAGGTTGATAAGGATCTGAATTATCCTTCAATTCAGAATTGTGCAAAGCCTCAAAAACTTGATGTAATCTTTCAGTCACTTGTATAATTTTAAGATCATTAATGCTAGCATTGAATGACTGACAGTTCCACGATTTACTATTAGCAGAGCTTGTACTTCGTCCCAATGAAGAACATTTTCCCTAATAACAAAACAAAATTTTTAACTAAAAATTATTACAATTTTCAAAAATAGATTGTACTTTAAGTCCATAAGTTGAACGTCCAGTAATTTCTTGTAGCTCTGTAATAAGATGATGAAGATTATGTAAAAATGATGGTGCAAATCTTAATGTATACAATACACTGTTAAGAAAACATGTATTGCCAAGGTTACATAAAGTAGCAACTCCAGGTGTCCCATTACTTTCATTGTCACAAGAACAATTAATTTGTTGTTGCTGCTGTTGTAATTGTTGTTGCTTGATATGCCGAATAGCTTGAATAAATAAAATTTGTTGCTTGTGAGTTAAAAAAAAACTAAATAAAAAAGTTTAAAACATTTAAAGTACTCTGAATATATTTGGTATGTCACTCAAAAAAAAAAAGTAAATTGCTTGCAATTCTTTAATATTCTATCTCAAAAGAATAATATTTCCAAAATATATTTTAAAAACAAGTAATTACTTAAATAACTCTTGAAATATGACAGATATAAAGAATAATAAGTATAACTTTTGATTATTATAATAAGATAATAAAAATAATAAATAAATAATTTTTTATCATAATTCTTACCATACACAATTACAATGAACATATTATATTTTACTGGATTATATTTTTGTTCATTTATATAAGAATTTTTCAAATTACAATTGTTATAAATTGCAATTAAAAAAAAGGAAAATTGACAAAAAATAAAAAACCAATAAAAACTATAAATATTTATTGAAAATGATCATTAGTTTATTAAATAAATATGATACTATTTCTTTAAACAAAATATATTAATTATAAAGTAATACTCTAGAAGTATATAATATTGATAATCATATTTGGATAATAAGATTCTTAAATTCTAAACAATAATGAAACATCAAATATTAACTAATAAAATTAATATAAAAATGAAAAATTAAGATGTTATATTTTACTACTGATGTTTCTTTTCATCACTAGTGTTTATAGTATCTTGATCTTGATTACTATCATCATTATCATTTTCATTTTTATCTACAGGTTCATTAAAAGCTTGTTTAACATAGAAGTAAATAATTAATTGTACAATAATAACTGCAAATATAACAGAAATCACAATAACTTTATACCCATGCAAATTTAATAATTGAGTTAGCAAATATTTTATAGAAAAAAATCCAATAAAGGGAAGTGTAAACATAAGAAAACTATAACCTAATAAATACCACATAACATGGGTTTCAAAATTTGATTCCATTTTTAAATGATTCCAATTGAAATATACTTGTATAAAATGACAGTTGTATGAAAATTTTTGTAATTTATAACAAATTAAATACTTCAAACTTCAAAATCTCAAATACTAAAACAAACTTCAATTACCAGGCTGATCAAGCGGTGATGCCATTGAATTATTTTGAGAACAACCATAGGATTTAGATTGTAATTGCTTAGATGCTGATAAACACAACTTTTTCCTCGGTGGTTGTTCAGCTGTTTCTGCTGATGATAAAACAGTCATTTTTCTTAGCCCTGTAAAAGAGACATTTAAATTGATTTATCTATCAATAACATTTTTTAATTATTTAAATTTGAACAGAATATATTTTTAAATAATAATAATGTGTAACAAAAATAAAAATTGAATTTTAATTACTGAATCGTTTACAAATTCCTAAAAATGTTGTTTATTTATGTAATCTGAATATTGTTAGTGATAAGAATTCATATGAAAAAATTAAGAATGCATCAAATTCCCCAAAAAATCATAAAGCACAGTAACAAATGTTTAATTAATATCTATCTTGGTTACACGCCCCTCAAAATTTTATAATAGAATTATCCATTGAAAAAAATACAATATTAAAATGTTGATATTAGTCAATACATTGATGTATATATTGTTTTGAAAATTATTATGAATCGTATTTTAAAAAAAGATCAATTGAATAAAAAAATAATCACTTACCGAAATACTACAAGAGATTTCATGGAAATGGAGTTCGCATAAGTCTAACTTCAATACAAAACAATTACTAAGAATATTTCAATCAAAAGCAAATACCGTACTAAACCAAGTTACATTTAATTTCTTTAACAAAAATCATAAAATCTCAACACGAATTTCTTCCCAAATAAGCAAATTTATCAACTGCTGAATAACGACAAATATTATTGGTCCACCATTTTATTAACATCGAGTTTCTTTAGCTAAAGAGTAGCGGTGAAATGTTAAATGATTATTGGGCTGGTAGGGGTCGTGAATCCTTGGAAAAAAGTTTAATTTATAAATATTTAGGAATATTAATTAAATAACTATTTAAATTTAGATTTAGATTTTTTTTTATAATTAATTCAATTTGCAATTATTAAATGACTTTATTAGACTAAATTCAGTCAAATATTGTTAATTAGGTTTCTTATCAAGTAGTTATTTTCTTTTTAGATGATATCCTCATCTTCTTATATTTTAGGTTAGAAAACACAATTTTTGAGATTATTGTTTACACTGCAATCCGTCGTAGTTTTTCGGATTGTTTTACAGAATTTTATTATTACGTCTACGATTTTAAGTTATCCAAAGTAAGTGCCATTGACTTTTTAACTGATTCCAAGTATTTTTATCTATTCATTAGTAATATATAACTATTTAAATGATTTAATAATCATTTGGTCCTTAAATTTTATCGATTGATGTGGATTAAAATGTTTATATCTGTTGTAGATGCCTGAAGTTACAACTAAAAAAGTACCCAAATCGGCTGCAAAAGCCAAACCTGAAAAAGTTGTAGAAACAGCTGTCAAAGAGAAAAAAGTCAAACAAAAGAAACGCCAAAAGAGGCCTTACGGTCGATTGTACGCTAGAGCAGTATTTACAGGTTTTCGTCGTGGACTTCGTAACCAACACGAAAATACAGCATTACTTAAAGTCGATGGATGTGATTCAAAGGCTGACTCGTGGTTTTATGTAGGAAAAAGAGTTGCTTATGTCTATAGAGTAAGTGATGTATTCAACTAGATAACTGAAATTATACTTATTACTCAACATATCGGTTAATTTTTATTTTTGTTAATTTTACAAGTCTTAAATAATTGAAAATATTTACTAAAATTATTTTTTAACCGGTATTATATCAAAATAAGTATATTTAATCTATTATTTTACCATAAAATATCCAAATATATATTTTTAGTATTAATGAGACAATTTTAAATTATAATTTATTCTATGTTTTACAGTTCTGTAGGATAATTTATTTGTCATTGAATACTTAATTTCTCATTAAATAATGATATTGATCATTTTTTTTTTCTTTTTTTTTTATTGATTTATAAGTTATTTAGTCATTTTTAGATCCATCCATTATTTTTAAAAGATATCAATTTATTATTAATAAACTATACATTTAACTAACTTAAATTTAATACAACATATCCCCCTTTCACTATTGGTACATACTGTATGACTCAAACTTTATTTAACAAGTAAGCCATTGTTTTAATTTATTCAGTATTCAGAGGTAGGATGTTGATATTTTGTTGCCTCAAAATAAGTAGATTCTACAGCAAAAAATAGATGTTTAAAATAATATTTAATTATCTCACAATTTTATAGAACTTTTAATTTTTATTTAAATTAACTCACTATATAACAATCTCTCCAACATCATTTAGGGTTTAAAAGATTTGCATTGATTTTATAAAGTATTAAAAAAAAATGGTAGCACAGTATGGATGTGACATAATTAGGACAAGTTTAGATATCTAACAGTAAATAAAATGACTATCATAAGAAATACTTGAATGCAAATTTGTTGATAGTGTTTAATTTTTGAAATTGTCTCATTCGTCACTTAATAAAAATGGAAATTTAGCTAGTTCAAATTTTAAAGTTATTTTTCTCGACTTCAAAGAAACAAAAAAATTTAAATATGATTAATTTTTTATACTATGTCATTTAGATTGATATAATATTTATGAAAATCAGTGTAATCCCCTTTTAATAAAATAAAATACAAAACAAAGAATTTTAACACAATAATAGCATATTTTTTAATACGGTAGCTATTTTCACCATGTATTCTCCTAATAAGATATTTTTAAATAAATTAAAAAACAAAACCTAGAATTTTTATAGAAAAATAGCATATTTTTGTATACGGTAGCCATTTGCGCATAGAAGATAGGTTGCCGGGACAAATTTTTTTTTTTAATTTTATAGTACATAAAATAAGCTTTAATTTGATATATGTTTAAAGAACGCAGTATTTCCGGAACATTTTCAAAAATTAAGTTGAAAAAGTTAGTTTTTGTAAAAAAGTTGCTATTTTAAATCCCCCCCAATGAGCAGGTTAAGTGTTAGATTTTCAAAAAGTGATATCAAATGAAAGGGAAATATCTAAGGTTTTAGTATAAAAAAAAATTATGTTGATTTGTTTATTTATGAAAAAGTTATGGAAGTTTTAAGAAAAATTGGCATAACTTTTTTAAAAATGACCAAATTAATATTATTATTTTTATATATAGATACCTTAGATATTTACCTATCATTTGATATATTTTTACAAATATTTGATCCTTTACCTGGCCACAGGAATATTAATATAGCAATACTTATAAAATTATGCATAATGCAAATAAAAAATATTTCATTTCATCATTATTATATTTTATGAACTTTTAGTAGATTGATAAAACGTTTTATTTTTATTTTTCAAGTTTATAATGTTTATAACTATTTTTCAAATATACCCTAATGCATTAATGTTATGCTTTTCTTACTGGTATAAATACTAGACAAAATAAATTTACTTCATATATTATTATATTGAGTTTTTATTGATTATGTTTAGTACTAATTCTAGTAATTAAATAATTCTATTTCTATGTGATAGGTAAATATTTAGATAATAGAACAAAATCATATTATACACCTTTTCTATTACCAAATTAATATATATTATATATTATCAAGGTGGACATAATGCCCATGCACTCAGACCTGTTGGTCCATTGTGCGCTTTATATATTATATACATATATTAATTATTGTAATATACCAAAACTGCTCTGTAAGCATATGTCTGAAATCTTATTTTTCAATAATTAATTTTTCTTTTGATAATTTTATCATAATTTTTACTAATTATTCATACATAACACTTTTTTTTATTTTCTACTAAAAAATAATTTATTATACTGTACGTTAAATGTAAAAGGTGTAAAGATACAAATATTGAAAAAAAAAAAAAAAAAACCTGTAAAACTATGAAATATTGACAACTTTTCGGTTTTAATAACTAATGATTACTATTTATTTATTTTTTAGGCTAAACGTTTAGTTCCAGTACCTGGACGTCCAAAAAAGAAGTCTAAGGTTCGTGCCATTTGGGGCAAAGTTACTCGTCCTCATGGAGCTACTGGATCAGTGAGAGCCAAATTCAAGACCAATCTTCCTGCTAAGGCAATGGGACATCGTGTTAGAATTGTAAGTTGATAAATTATTTTATATTATTAGAATGTTAAATTTTGAACTTGTATATTTTTAATTATCCTACATTTACAACTTATTAAGTTCAATATGTTACTTATGTCATATGAGTATATGAGGATGTTTTTTTTTTTTTTTTCAATAAAGTTTTTTCAAAAAATAATTTTACCAATTAGTATATGTAATTCACCAGTTTCATAGATATTAGTAGCATTAATACATATATAAATAAATATGACACAGTGGATCTGATGTAAAATGACTGACAATTTTCACAATAACATAAAAATGTCTTGTGTTCATCATTTATCATTAAAACTATCCACTTTTTAAAAATATTCTCTAGTAATAATTTCCAAACAAAATATACAAACTATCCTTTTAATTCCCTGTCCATATTCTGGCAACACGTAAAAATACTATATAAACTAGTGTTATATATTTGATACAGTAAGTTTTTGAAAAATGTCCCTTTTCAAATTTTTATATATCTCCTTGGCGCCCTATTTTCACTTTAAATACTTATTAAAGTCAATGTCTGCTTTTCTTTCAAAAAAGTAAATAGTGTCTCAAAAAGAATACCATATTTGAAAAGGCTGACATCGGTTTTTTTTTTTTTTTTATATATATATATATAATTGGTTTTGCTATTTATATTATTAGTTATCATTGAGTATTTATGTTGAAAAGAGGTTTTATGGTCCTGGGTTATTATTTGCACTTGCTTGCAAACAAAGTTCAATTAACACAGAAACCCAAGCCAGTGGACTACAAAAATAACAGCAATTGATTGAATCGATTCCAAAATAGGAACAAGAGATCTAGGGTATCGCAAAGCGCATAATTTTCACCGATGAAGCTTATGTCCCTTTAAACGGGTTCATCAACAAGTAGAATTGTCGAGTATGGGGATGTTTAGTAATGAGTGATGGTAAATTTTATGAAAAGAATAATCTCCTTTAAGTCTAGTAGGGAAGCCATATACTCAATATTGTTTTCCATGTTTAAACTTCAACTTCTGAAGAGAATGATATATTTTTTTTATGTTTTAAAGAATAATAAATTTGATTTATAGCAGTTCTAAATCTGGCAATCTTTTTGAGACATCTATATTTTATAATAATTCATTATTATAATAATAAATAACTGAAATTTTCTGACAATCCTTTTTATAAAAATTTAATATACACAAAAAGCGAATATAATTTCATTATAACTTTTGTTTAATATATATTCTATAATAAATATATTTCAACTTATCATGATTTCTTCTAAAATTAGAAATCAAAATTTTTATTAAATCTTAAAAATAGTTTATTTATTAAAATTACATCAAATTTATACACTAATTTTACATTTAATAAAATGTAATTTATATTAATTTTATATAATATTTAATCTAATCTAAATTAAATTATTTATCCTGGTGTATCTTATATTAGCATATAATTAAGTTAAACTAAAATTTGTTTACTAGTCATGTATTTAGCGCGTAAAATTAATAAAAATCTAGTTTTATACTATAATTTAAAGTAATATTTTTGGCCGAAATAACTAAGTTTTTTTTTTTTTTTTTCAGATGTTGTATCCTTCACGTATCTAAATCTTGTTATATGGACAATTTTAAGTTAAAAAATTTGAAAAAAAAATAAAAAATAAAAAATTGTACAACTTATTAAAATCTGTATTTATTTTACTATTTCTATTTCTGTCTATCACACCTTTTATTAAATTATTATATAGTTTTGTAGGCTGGACAATTGCTCCAACTTATAATTTTACTCTTCCTAGGATCATAACCATGTTTGACTAGAATAGCAGATAATCTTAAAGTTTCTGGTGCTGAAATTCCATTTTTTCTTGTAACAACAGCTGTCCACATATGTAGTTTATCCAATCCTCTTAGACCACAGAAAACCAAGATTGCGTGATTATCTGGTTCTGCATTTATGATGGTGGTGTGTATTTCACCTAAAAACTAAGTTTAAATTGTGTTTGACAATAATTATATTATTATAATAGAAGTAATACCTCCCAATGGACTTTGTATAGACCAAATGTTGTTTTCTATTTCTATTGTGGGTAAGTCAATTACTGCACTATGATCCTCCATCAACATAGGGTTGTCTACATTCCATATTTGTTTAAGCATTGTAGTATTATATCTCAATAACTCACCATGAATACAAACATTATCTTCTACAAACTCCTCAGTGAAAGATTCCATTATCATAATTGCCAAATACCATTTACCCAATAACTAAGTATTTGATTTATAAATTAAAAGATAAATAGAGTTCTTGTTAGCTAGATCTACTTACTTGATCTACTTTAACTTGAGTAAATGGTTTTATCTTTGGACATGGTGACATTTCTGATTCATTATAAGGTGCTCCATTTGTTATTAATACATCGTGTGTCAATAATAAAATTATAATCATAAATTTCATTTTTAAAAAAAATTAGTGATTTTCTTACCATGTATTGTATACTAATGTCAGCTTAAAACTAACCAGCAAATTACGCATGTGGGCAGTATGAACTGTTATTAGATAAACGTTTGACCTTAAAATGGGTTAAAGCTGTAGTCTTGTCTCGTTTTTAAGGATAACAAAATTCGCATTTCCGTCTACACCAGTGATAATAATAACATCACTTTTTTAGTATATATATATATATTTCAGTATGTGTATATATAAATATTTCATAATTTTTTTTTTTGGAACGGTGTAGTAGTGGTGTCTCTAATATACTCAAAGTTGCGTCTTAAAAACAAATTTTAATTGAGTGTAATTATACATTTAAAATTGGAATGTTTTCAAAACGTGTAAAATGGAAAAGGAAACTTACTAAATTCTATTATTATGAACAGTTTTACAATATTCGTTTAAAACCGGATTAATAAATTATTATTATTATTGATACACGGAATAACTTTCGTTTCTTATTAATAATCATGGGCGTCTTCACAAGAACCGTTTTTGATAATAGAACTCTTGACAATAATAATGATAAATATTCTTTTTTGAACGAGTATAAAAAATTTTTATGGATTTCATTCTAAAATACCTGAAAACGTTTGTAAATAAAGTAACTTATGAATTTTCTTAAATATAAGATAAAATAAATCTGGCGTAGATCGCCATATCAATAGTTTTTCCATAGGGGATGAAAACATCATAGAGGTTATGCCCCCAATTTTAACTATTTTATCAATCAAAATTTATTGATTTTTTTAATAATTAGGTAGACTATTCCCTTAATATTTTTATAAAAAAATTAATTTTTACTCATCTATGAAAAAGGTACTATAATCAATTTAAGAGTGATCTGAATAACATTAGTTGTTATGGAAAAAAGTGCCAATAACTGTATATTACAAAAATCTATTATTTAAAAAAAAGTATTGATATTACACAAATTTTGAAGGCATAATTCGCATTGTTCGCAAAGTTATGTATGTGTCAAATTATTTTCCGATTTCAAAATAAATTTTACGAGCAAATTTAGGAAACAGCAATGGGAAATCCGTTATCATCATTTTAAGCAATATTTTTCATAAGTAGATTCTAAGCAAATTTAAAAAAGTAATTATGGCGGTTTTTCGAAAATTTAGATTAGGTATGTAGATGACATGTTCACAGTAATGAACAAAGATTGTAACACGTATGTATTCATACAATATTTTAATTTTATTTACTCAATATTCATGTACGAACAGGAAGTAGAGGAAAAATTGTTTTTTTTTTAAATTTATTTATTAAAAGAGTAAGGTGAGTAAATTTTGAAAATTTTCGAGAAAACACACACACGTTCAGGTACATTCCGAACAATTCGAACCACAACAGGCAACACAAATTAGTAGCTTTTAATGGTATGGCTTACAGGTTAGTTAATAATCCGATGAAAAAATAAATTTTGGTAAAAAACTGGAGATTATAAAATAAATTGCTAGATTTAATGAGTAAATAAAACGTAATTAAGAATAAAGAAAGGAGGGGTCTGGTAAACTCACTAGTGTGGGGGAACAGATAGTAATTAGGAAACCCAATTTATATCCGTCCTTTCGAATAGAATAATACAAGGGAGGCGATAGAAATGTTTAAAACTAAGAATAATATTATTAACTGAAATTTAGGTCCACTGCGAAATTCATAATGTAATTTGTGTAAACTGACAAAATGTGGCTAAATCATAAGCGCCGATGATAATAACACTGTTTCCAAAATACATATAAGCGATTTTTAGTAGTTTTTCAAATTAAATTAATATTTTAAGTATATTTTTAACTTTAAATAGTATTAGCCACAAGGGATCAATCCTATTATCTAAAAAAAAATGATCTATTAATACATAATTTTATTTTTTATCAAACTTCGAACTTAAAAATGTTCTATTTTTATGCTAAATATTATTAAAATAACGTAACCGTCTTAAGTCGGTGGCAAAAAATTGTAGTTAGTGGCTACTTTAATCACATACGTATTAAGAGATGGTCCATGTGGTCTAAACCCATGAAAATTTCTAAAATAACAAACTACGAGGTTGAACTCAATAGTATTGCGCGATATAAAAAAATTTGGCTATGAGCCTAGTTAATTTTTTAAGATAATAAAAATTACAAATATTAAATTTGAGTAGTAGAAAACATGTTTTTGAATATATTTTTTATAGAACTAATTGGTAGAAGATTTTTGTAAGATTTAATTTAATTTCTCCCTTCCTAAATTTTATTTTATATAAAATTACTTCAATAATTAAAATATTATTTTAAATATTGATAAATATTATTTAAAAATTATCAACCGATATATTTATAAATTATATTTTATTTTAAATTTGTTTTAGTTTAATTTCATCGTGTACTGCTACGAATTCATAAAAGGGAATTTTCCTAATAATAAATTTTATTAATAAATACACATAATTATTTTGTTAATTGAAGTGTAAAGTACAACTTTTTGTCCAAGTATTTATAAAAATATATTATCATTTATTTAAATAGATGATTTCATATCTTAATCCTAAGCAATAATTTCACAACACTAGTTATCTTTTAATTCTTAATTTATCATGTAAGACAATGAAATTTAATTAAAATTAAATTACCCTATTGAATCTTCTTCTTCCTCGCCTTAATCCCAACTACTCAGGGTCGTCCAAATAGTAATAATTACACTATTGAATAAGTTATAATTTAAAATAATCAATAAAAGTGCACTAACATTTTATTATTTTTATAAAAAATTATGATATTAAAAAATAAAACTTGGTTTTCAATTATGATACGTATTTTTTGACAATACTTATCAAGGAAAATTAAATATAATATTTATAAAATCAATATTTTTTTCAAATAATAAAAGATAAAATTAACACATTATAGTTCTATAATGTATTCCTGTTTGTTTCAAAATATAAATAAGACAGTTTGATTTTTATATTTTTTCAATGCTTTAATTTCCTTAGACCGGGCTTTCATGAGTCAGATTAAAAAGTTTACAAGAAAGTTATCGAATTATATATTTATTCATTATATTACATATTGTTTGTCAATTTTCTTTTTTTGTTACAAACATTTTCATTAATTCTGATTAAATTAAGTTATTAAATTGAATAAAAACGTTTATTAAAAAGTCAAAAAAAAAAATCAATTTACCAATTTAAGTAATAAATTTTCATAATCCATGAACTCTGTTATTATTAACGAAGACTAACGTTTTTCAAGCATAAATATCTCCATAATAATAAGTTTTTGCGTAGTTCCTTCGCCAAGGTTAATGCGTTTGTTTTTATTATGTTTATGATTATTTATAAAAAATTGTTGAAAAAATCAATCCAATTAAATCAGTTACTTTTTAATTATACATTGATTGTATCAAATTACTTTTTATAATCGTTTAATTGTGCAAAAATTAGGTATGTATATTATCAATATATCGGAAAAGAATTATCTTTTTTCAAATAGTATAAGTATTGTAATATCTTAATTAAAACATCAACAAGAATTTTTTTTCATAGGAGCTATATCATAGACGCAATCTAGAGTCTTAAGGTGCGTTATTTGGCTCCCCAAAAATTATGAGAATTACATGTATTTTTAAATAGAAATATTTTCGGATATTATTCGACAAATATTTTAATAAACAAAGCAAAAAATTGTCTTTGATTTCTGCTTATATGCCTAATAAAAAAAGTGTTTTATATGATAAAATACCATAAAATAAAAGAGAAATTAGTAATCATTAACAATTTTAATACTTTAACTAATGTGAAAACTCTATAGAGAATATATGTTTCTATTGTCCGTGCAAAACGTTTTTGACACAAAAAATTACTAAAGGTCGTCCTTTACTTATAGAGTTCAAAGATATTCATGATGTTATTACGATTTTCAAAAGTAAAAAGAAACATAACGGCCCATGGGATAAAGTATAATAAAATAATCAATGCTGATTTAACAGATATGTAATAAAAATGCTTCGGGGACTAAACTTCTCCAAAAAAAAACAAACTGGTGAATTCAATTGGATAATAAAATATGTAAACAGCTTTCCATCACTTATTAAAAAAAACTGAATCGGTTTGTAAATAGTAATTTAGAAATGACAATATATAATAAAAATTTTTACACTTTGTCTTTTAATTGGTATAATTTTTATAAAAGCTATGTGAATAGTAATTTTATGTTTATTGGATATTACCAGAATGCTTGGGGTTTACACACAAATTTGAATGAGTTAGTGTCTTAAGTTCCGTTATTTCAAATTGATTATTTTATTCTAACTCAGTGGTCGGCAACCGGCGGCCCGCTTTAAATTCTAAATCGACTAATTTAATTAAATATCATTTTGTATAAATATAATTGAACGTTGCGTTTTTTGGTACGGGTATTTTATATAAGTCATATTATTATTTTAAGTTTTAGATAGTATTTTTTTGCATAATAAATAATGTAATTATAAATTTTTTTTTTTTATCTGGCCCGCGAACTCTTTTTAATTTGTAAATGTAGCCCGAGAATTAAAAAAGGTTGCCGACCACTGTTCTAACTGAAACCTGGCTAAATAGCGCTATACTGGATAGTGAACTTGATTTTGATGATTATGTTCTATAACGTAATGACCGGAGTTATAAGACTAGTTCATGTACAAATTAAATATATAATAGTAGTGATGCTATCTGTGTCCGTAATTGTCATTTTTCAAAATTGATTAATTTACACATAGATAATATTGAACAAACTTTTGTGTTTGTTCGTGTTGGTGGTGGCAGTGATATTTTTATAATAGGTATTTGTTACATACCTCCGAAATAGAGTAATATAGTATGTATGCGGCTCACGTAAACACTATGAATACAAACAAAAGGAATTGAAGGAATTAAAAAACTGGTAGACTAGTAGTATGGACCGTAATGTTCTATTTAATACATAGAATTGAATTAACTAATTACAATTCAGTTTCAAATAATTTGATTATGCCCCAAGTACAATCTGATGTCGTCAAATACATTTTTCAAATTATAAAACCAAAGTTACATATTCTTTTATATTAATACAGATTTCAAGTAATGATTAAAAAATTACTACAAATTATTAAATGATCTCAAGGAAAAATAAAATAAATAGAAAATTGGTTAAACACATGCGAGGTTTTTTACACTCGACATGACATAATAGTTAACGTACGAAAGAAATTGATGTTTTAAAATTAACTGATTTACAAATAGTCAATGAGAAAAATGTGTCAGAAAGATAGGATAAAATAGAATAATCATATTAAAATAATTAAAGTATATTAATTTAATGAAGGTTCATGTTCAAAAAAAACCTTGTAACAATGCACGAATATAGGAAAATTTAATGGACGAAAGAAAGAAAATGGATGTTGTACAACAGTTACCACAATTATAATACAATGATGACCAAGCCGTAGCCAACAAACGAGTCTTCACCCACAGCTCGATCGCCAGGACCAAAAGTATAGTTTAAGTAGCCATGGAAATATTAAGTATACAAAAGAATCAATAAGTAGATGACTGGAGATATGAGTTCGATGACGACACCAAAAACACATTTGAACCAAACAACCAGACCACTCGACGGCGACGACACATAATGATCTGGAAGGGGAAACAACTCCGACATCAGTGCATGCGTAGCTGACAGACACCTGGGACCGGTTGAATTGTTGACAGTATTGTAGTGGTCAGCTAGGTGGCTTCTTATCACGATGACAATTGAAATAATGAACGATTGATAGTGATTGTACAACAAGAGAAATATAAATATAGTTTTAAAAAACTGAAAAACACGTTTTTAAAACTATATTTATTTTTCACTTATTAGTTTTTTATGGCATCGCTGTTACAGTCATGGAGTGTTTATTGTCAATTACCACTATCAATAGATATAATTTCTATATGCGCGTGGAGAGTTACAAACATACATACATGCAGGTGAAACTAATATAAACATGTTAAAAAAAACGGTAGCACAGTGGGGTCGAGGCACAGTATAGACGTGGCATAGATGAGATAAGTATAGATGATATCTGACAGTGATTAAAATCACTATCATAAGAAACGCTTCGATGCAAATCTGTAGATAGTGTTTCCTTTAGAGAAATTGGTGAAATATTTTAAAAGCAACATGAACTCTTATTTCTTTAATTATATCCTGATTAGTAGTTCTTTGATTTTAAAATATAATATATGAATAAATACTAATTATAGTTTTTAAATTTAGTATGAAATTGTGAGGCCAGCTATGATGTATGGTTAATAGTGTTGGGCGGTTGATAAGAAAGTAGAGCAGAGAATAAGTGTAGCAGAGATGAGAATGCTTAGTTGGATGAGTGGAGTGACTAGAGAAGATAGGATAAGGAACGAGCATATAAGAGGAAGTATAGGTGTTGCGTCAATCGTGGATAAGATGACAGAAAATAGACTTAGATTGTTTAGTCATGGTATGAGGAAAGAAGAATCGAAAGCTGTAAGAACAGTTATAGAAATGAATGTTGAAGGAAGAAGAGATAGAGGAAGACCAAAAAAGAGATGGAGGGATGCTATTGAATGCGATTTGAGGACAGCTGATGTGAGCGTAGAAGATGTGGGAGATCGTGTCAAGTGGAAGCTTAGGATAAGGGTGGCCGACCCCAAGTAGTTGGGATTAAGGCAAAGAAAAAGAAAAATATTACCAGAAATTCCGGTGGCAATTGACATAATATGATTGTTGTTTCGGAATGTACAATTTAGCGTTTAGTTGGGTTTAAATAATATAGCGTCAAATCAATTACCTACTCTATCGGTTGTATCTCAATATACACTACACTTTAATGATACAATAAATAAATAAACTCACACATACACACATATGCATTTATAACATTGTGTCTAATGTAAGTATAACATGATAAAAAGTAACCGTAAAATGAAAAAAATGGAATATAAATTTTATTACTCATATTAAATGTAATGTAACTCGAAAAATATTTGTTTAAATGAAAAAATATAAGATTATATTTTTATTTATAATTGTCTTTTAAACAACTTTTGTGCGAAACTTTTTTTTGTAAGTTAAATATTTTTTTTTGAGAAAATTAAGAAAGCTCATATTTTTGAACTTTTGCGAGGATTTAAAAAAAAAGCTCAATTCCAATCTTGAGGACTATTAGTATGTCATTATACATATTTTAATTCAACTTTTAAAAAAACAAAATTTTTTCCGCAATTTTTCCTTTGTTGACAGGCCTAGATGTCAATTTTAAACTTGTAATTGAGCTAAAAGTTATGGTAATATATTCAATTTATTTTACTATAAACTTTCATAAATCTTTATCAAAAATTTTTCATCAACTTTAAAGAACCAAAAAAATAGGTTAAAATTGAAAATTTGGACTGATTATTTTTAACATATTAAAAATCAAATCAGTAATAATTTGAAAACAAATTTTTTTTTCTTTTAATTATTATTTTATATATATAATTAGTAATAATATAAAAAATTAGAAGTGATAGAAATAGTCTACTTGCAGATTTGAAAACAACGCGAAAATTTGATTTAGAAAAGTATATTTTTGCTTCTGATGAAAGTTCCTTGTAGTCCAGTGCATTTTTTTATAGTAACAAACAGTTTTTATTGAAAATTATTGTATCAAGCCCTTTAAATTTTTATACACGTAAAAGTAAAGCAAAATATAACTTCTTTATTATTTTTATAATTTCTCCGTTTAAATTACAATATTAAATATCAATTTCATACTAAATTTAATAATTATAATTAGTATATATTCATATATTATATTTTAAAATCAAAGAACTACTAATCATGATATAATTAAAGAAATAAGAGTTGATGTTGCTTTTGGAATAATCCACCAATTGCCTAATTAAAACAAAAAAAAAAAAAGTTTGTTGGGAATTTTTTCTGCTATTCTGCAAAATTACTCCTTCGTTGACTAGAATGAATCATTAAATAGAAAATTTTATGAGAATTAAAACAATGTTATTTTTAAGATTAATATGCAGTCAGAAAGTTTTATAATTATTATTTATTGTAAATTTATCAGAAAAACTCATTATTTTTTGCATTTTTATCGTAATAGAACACTTAAATAGAAATCATAGTAATCATTTCTAAGTAATTTTTGATATTTAAAAAGATTCTACTATTGAAATATCCAGAACTGAATTAATTTTAATGATTTACTTTAACTAAAAAAAAAAAAGTTAATATTTTGAATCCCTCTTGTGGGCAGGTAAAGGGTTAGATTTATAAAAAAAACCAAATGATAGATAAAGACATGCATCTAAATAAAAAAAAATATACTGATTTGGTCATTTTTGATAAAGTTATAACAATTAACAAAGTTATAAGTTTTATACACTGGACTACAAGGAACTTCCATCAGAAACAAAAATATACTATTCTAAATCAACTTTTCGCGATGTTTTAAAATGTGCAATTAGACTTTTTCTATAACTTCTAAGTTTTAATATTATTAAAAAATAGTTTTTACATATAAAAAAAAATAATTAAGAACAAAAAAAATTGTTTTAAATTAATACTGATTTGATATAATATTTAATATTAATTTGATTATTAATAAGTTAAAAATAAGGAAAATGACATATTTAACCTATTTTGTTAATCGTTTAAAGTTGATTGTTGTAAATGTTTATAATAAAAAAAAAAAATTTATTTTACCATAACTTTTAGCTCAATTGGTAAGTTTGACATTGACATAATTAAATAGAAAATTTTATGACAATTAAAAAAATTGTATCGTTAAGATCAATATGCAGTCAGAAAGTTTTATAATTACTATTTATTGTAAATTTATCAGAAAAGCTCAATATTTTTTTGCATTTTTATGGTAATAGATAACTTAAATAGAAGTAATAGTAATAATTTCCTAGGAACTTTTGTTGTTTGTTGAAAAGATTCTATAATTGAAATATTGAGAACTTAATTAATTTTAATGATTTACTTTAACTAAATGTACCAATCAAAACAAAGTTGTTAAAAAGATTTACTCAATTGAGTGTATTATAAAATTTGATTATATTTGTAAAAATCAATTGTTAATTCAGGAGAAAAAACAATCATTTTTTTTAGAAATGATTTATATAGCAACATGTTACAAAAAAAAATTGTAATATTATAGTCTAGTAGTAGCACACACAAATAGAGTAAAAAAATTATTAAATTACAAAGTAAAATGATTTAATTTTGTAGTTGAAACCTATCATATCAAACTTCATTCGTTAATAAATATTTTGAAAACATTAGAAATTAATGATTTTAATTGTCTTTATGGAGACGATGTAATAACTAACTGTTTAATTGATAAATTAGAATTTTTTTTTCAATTTTTGAGAGTAATATCTTCAACTAGATACGAATTGTAGTAATTTGACGTATTGTTGAAAAAAGTAGGTCAAGTTAGAGCAGAGAAAATAAATGATAGTCACAAAAAAATATCTTCTCGGCTTTGCATCGAAGCGAAAACTTAAAATATAGTAAAATAATTTTAATACGAATAAGAAATTTCTTCTTGCAAGGGGCGACTAAAGTGATGGGATCCTTGATCTTTATTGAAGTTATTGAATCTAAATGTGATAAAAATCAAACGAGTTAAAATTTATACTAACTTAAAAAGAATTAAGAAAAAATGCAAAAAATTCATTGCCATATGCGGGTTGGAACCTCGTACCCCAAGCGTGTAAAACATAAATTTTACCAACTCGGCAACCGTACGTTGCTTCCGGCGGTTGAAAAATTGGCTATTTAAGCTAGTTCAAATTTCAAAGTTATTTTTCTCGACTTAAAAGAAACAAACATATTTAAATAAGTTTAACTATCTATACTATATCAATTTTAATTTATATAATATTTATGAAAATCTGTACTCCCCTTGTCAGGTATTTTAAAATAAAATAAAATACAAAACCCAGAATTTTAACACAAAAATAGCATATTTTTGCATACGGTAGTCATTTTTACCATGAAGACAAATCCAGAGGTCAAATTTTTTTTTTTCACATTAAAGTATATTACATAAGCTTTAATTTAAGATATATTTAAAAGTGTCAGTATTTCCGGAATACTTTCAAAAATTAAATTGAAAATATCGTAGTAACAATACGCATGTTTAAAGTTTTGACCCCCCTTGTTAAAGGGGTATGATCCGATTTACAAAAAAAGCGTGCCAGATGAAAGGGGTATATCAATATTTATTATAAAAAAATAATAATATAGATCCATACATTTTTCCAAAAGTTATATAAAATATAAATTAAATAATATAACATATAAAATCGAGATTTTTTTCACGGAAATCGTACGTTTTTCTTTAACTTTGATGTCCGTTTTCACCACGAAGACAAGTCCAGAGGTCAAATTTTTTTTTTTCAAATTAAAGTATATTACATAAGCTTTAATTTAAGATATATATAAAAGTGTCAGTCTTTCCGGAACATTTTCAAAAGTTAAGTTGAAAAAGTTCTACTTTCTATACGCATTTTAAAAGGTTTGCACCCCCCCTGTATAAAGGGAAATGGTCCGATTTTAAAAAAAAGTATGTCGAATGAAAGAAGTATA